TCAAAATTAGCTTCTTTTTCAATCATATGGAGAGATCCACACAAGTGCCTTCGAGAGCAGGGGGAGGGCATTTTAGAGGCTTTTCGTGTAGAGCAGGGCTCATCATAAGAAAAATGAGGACGTTCGTCCAAGCATAAGAGCAAGGTGCTCCAGGTTGTGTGAGCCAGAACGTCTTTGCGCAGAAATGTGCACTCTATCCCAGGTGATCCCAGTCTTGCACTAGAAGGCCTTTGATGCCCCTCAAGCGGATTCAACCTATGAATTCTAGCGTATTGAGCTTAATCCTTTTCAGTCAATGTTCGGAGGCATTTCAAGATTACATGTTGCGAGAGTTCCGAAGATATTGTGGAAATATCGACAATAAACTTTATGAATTCTATACATCAATGCCGCCAATGGATGGTCATTTCGCCTCCATCGGTGAACCTCCCGCCAGCTGAATTATTGTAGCAGTGCTGAAGGTATGCTCTGATTGCGCTCTAGATTGACGTTTAGATAATACATATTTATATGCAAAAATGATTAGTAGGATAAGAGGGAAGCTAGGCCATTACAACCGTTTACAGTTGGGCTACAAGGGGTCAGTCTGGCTCAGGATTGAACGTTCGACCACTTTCTCGATAGAAAAGCTCAAAACTTCCGGCATCAATAAATCCCTTTTTGGCATGCGCCACGCATTTCACTTTCACTCAGAATCGTAGCGCAACTTGGATGCGATTTAGCCTGCACGTTTATTTGTAAGACCAACCAGTGTACAGGTCACTGTTTTGACCCTTCCAGACAACCCTGTTACCAATTATCGACCTAAGAGAAAAAAAACTTGGCTTGCCCAGTCAGCAGATGATCTGAAATTTTGTTTCCGGATATGCGCGTGGTCAGCGGCGTCCCTTGCCACTACATCACCCCTGCCCTGCTTCCTTAATGTGTAGCTAAACAGTATTGTATTTAAACTCGAGGTGACTTGTTAAAACTCGCTCATCGCAAACTTCCTGAGCGGAGCTGGGCTCGTTTACGGTCAATCGAGAGGGCAGGAAAGGACCACTCAGTTGCGCAATCATGTTTAGCCTACACATTAAACAAGCAGGGCAGGGGTGATGTAGTGGCAAGGGACGCCGCTGACCACGCGCATATCCGGAAACAAAATTTCAGATCATCTGCTGACTGGGCAAGCCAAGTTTTTTTTTCTCTTAGGTCGATAATTGGTAAGAGGGTTGACTAGAAGGG